ATGCTGCTCTGCACAGCCTGATTAACATGATTAAAAGGCTAGCAGGCAGGATTCAGGGGAAGGGCTGAGCCGGAGGGAGCTCTTAGTGCCTCTCTGTGTAAGGCACCCTTTTTGCAAAGCCCTTCTCTCCCCGCAGCTGGTGACTCTCATTTCCTCGCAGGGCAGGCTTTCACCCCAGCCCTGCGTTGCCCAGCTGTGACAGAGGGGGGGCACACAGAAGTCTCACTTTCCTGTGTCCCAGTGGAGGGGCTGTGACTTACAGTGGAGTCCAATCTGTCCATATGCGAGATGGCAGGATGAAAAGCAGCGCTGAAATAAACCCCTGAGACAAGCCGACTTCGGTGCAAAGCCTCCTATCCCCAAATCCTTTGCCATTGCAGAGGCTTAGATTCAGCTCTGCATCCCCATGGGACGGGCTTGTCTCCTGGTGTCCTCTGGAAGGCCTTGGTGACAGAAGCAGCTGCTTTGACCTAACTCACTGCAAAAGGAACGGGGGCAATGAATCGTTTGCCACTGGCCCTGCCTGGGGACTGACTACTTTCACTCTGAGTCCAGCAGGTGAGCGCAGTAAATGGTCCGTAGCTTTGGAGGAGAGTGGGCTCAGCCCCTGGCATCCGCTGCTGGGAGGCTTTTGAATTCCCCATGTGTTTGGGCTTGTCCTGAGGGTAGCAGAGCAGCTCATGAGGTGAGATGGAGCCAGTGAGCAGCACTGAGAGGGAGAGACCCAGCCAGAGCCCAGCCAGATCTGAAGGCAAGAGGAAGAGAACGCAGCAGAGAGCTAAAAATGCGGTCAGCTCCCCCAGGCAGCACAGCTTCCACCTTCCTCTTTCCAGCAGGACCCGCCAGCTCTCCCGCTCTACTCTGCGTGCATCTGTGCTGAGTGGCCTGTGATGCAGCTCTGTCCTCCCTTGCTATTTACATTACAAAGCAGCCCCCTCTGCTCCAGCTCTCTGGGTTATATTTAGCTTCCTGGCACAGAACAGCTTGTGAGATGCATTAGCGGCATCCTACCTGCCACCCCGGTGACTGTGCTGAGCAGCTAAGATGCCCCAGATCTCGTTAGTGGCCTGCAATTTGCCAAGGCCCTGTTCTCTGCATGCCAGACACCAGAGTGGGCAAGGGGACACTGTGCTTTGCTCTGCAGGGAACTAAGCCCCCGGCTGGAGGGCACAGAGGGGTACAGGAATCCCTCTTTCGTCTGCCACAAGACGCCTGTGACAAGCCCTGCTCTGCTTGTGCATGGGCAGTGCCAGGCCCTGGCACGCGGGGAGGCCTCAGGAGGTGGTCCTGAGAAGGCAGGAGTTACGGCTCAGAGCAAAAGAGGAACGGCCTAACTCCCTGGCACGTTCCTCACCTGCACACATAGCCAGCAGGGAGGCTGTGCAGTTTCTGTGTGCTTGCGGTTTCCCTCCTGGGTAAACATCCCTACGGGCTGGGTTGCTGGCGGTGGAAGAAGGCAATGTCACCTTGAAAGCAACTGAGAAAGTGCCAAAGACAACCCCAAACTGTTGAGCTCTACAAGTGGCAAGCTCAGACACGGAGGCTGCAGGGTGCTGCTAAGGCCAGTCAGAGATTTTGCCATTGCTGTGCGTCCCAGGACTCCACAGCACCAACTCCTTTTACAGCCTAGAACAAAGCCTGTAAACCAATAAAGCCAGTACCCTATTTCCACTGCTTGTGCTACACCCTCTGGAAGCTAGAGATGCTCTTGTCCCACTGCAAGTCCATAACGAAGACACCTGAAGACAGCAGAAGCCAGGCCTAACTTCAGAGCCCTTGAACGAGCTCTTTGGCCTAGATGATGTCTGTGACTCTACAGCAAGTGAGCATAAAGGCCTGGCACTTGCTTGGCTTTTACTGCACTGATGGAGAGCACAGGGTCCTTCTGGCATTGCAGAAGCACCTCCCTACTGGGAAAATTGTCCCGGAATCTGCAAATCTGGTGCACAAGCCAGCATCATTAACAAGCTTGGCACGAAACTGCTACTCAAAGCCCTAAATATAACCTGAGCGCTGAGCTCTGTTCTACCCGCCCAAGGCGCCTCCACACACCACAGCAGCTATTTATGGAAGGAACTTTATTTCCATAGGCTTAATATCATTTCTGTTCATTTCAAAACCTTTATATAGCAGCTAATGCTGCCTGCCCCTTGTGATGACTAATGAGTCCCAGCAGGAACAGGCAGGTTGGCAGTACAAGAACTGGGGCCTCCAACCTTTGCTTGACATTGAGGACACCTGTGATGGCCACAACCCATGGAGGAGTTCCTCCAGCTCCTTGCAGGGGTTTGGTAAGGGCCTGCAGAGCTGGGTAGCTGGCAGCACCCAGAGGGGATTTCTGGTGGGCATCCCCAGGTCTTCTCCCACTGCCGGGCTAGCCATGCTACTGAAGGGGCTGAGAGGAGGAGTGCCCAGCGTAAGGTTAGCCTGGCTCTAGTGAATGACTCCCTCATCACCTGCCCTTCGCCTGGCAAACCCATGCCTGTTCTATGCCGTCCCCAGGGAGCAGCCAGACCTGACCGTGTGTGAGCGTCACAGGACGACGGCATGAGCAGGTTTCCACCCTGAGACACTTCCTCTCCCATGTTTCCCCTTCCCTTTGCTCAGCTGCCTGAAAAGGCTGGTCGAGGAAGCAGCTCACCCTAAAATACCACCTCTTCCCCTCGCTATAGGGGCTGCAGGTAATTGTGGCAACCCCTTTAACCCTGACTGCCCACTGCAAAACCAGGGTTGGATAGGGTGTCTCAGAGCAAAGCCTCTTGCAAAGAAACCTATTGTGAGGGGACAGGAGGACAGAACTGTTTGGCCGAAGAGCAGCACAGACTGAAGTATATTAACAGAGCTGCATGTGTGGGTATGCCGGGGTAGGAAGAGCAGGATGTAAACAATCCCCAGCAATATTAGACAATTCTGGACCAAATTCAGGCTGATCAAATTAGGTTGCAATATGTTCCCTTCCTCCCTGCGGAGTCTGGATAATTGCAGCTGGCTAATCCGTTCATGAGATGCACCATGCACATCTGGAGGAAGACAGCTAAGAGAAGAAAATCCTGCTCTGCCCCCTCCACTCTGCACAATAATCCCTCATCCTCCCTGGCATCAGGGAAGAAACCCTTGCAGGTCTGCTTGGCACCTTAGAGACAGCCTCGGGAACTGAATTAGGGTCACAAGCTCAGCGTTATCACCCCCACCTCACAGCAAGGCTCAAGGATACAGGGCTGTGTGGCGAAGGACTCCGCCACCCCTGGCTCTTGCTCGCCACCCACTGCAGGAATAACAACTGCTTGAGATGAGTCAGCTCTGGGGCCCCTCCTGCTTTGTGGGCACTAATACCGCTTCCCATTAGTTCCCATTACTGCAGTATTAGAGAGCAATTTGCTCACAGTTTGTACCGCAGCCCTTGCGAGGGGGGAGAAGGGCTGCTGTACTCGTGGGAGCAGAGCCAGTGGATGACCAAGTGTGTTTGATAGCTCATGCGGGAAATCAGCTTCCCAGCAGAGCTCTGCGCACCCGAGTCCCTGAACCCCAAGCCAGCAACCGGAGCACCAGTCCAGCCTCTGCGGCACGTACCTCCACGGCAGCAGGCGTAGTGCCGAGATCTTTGGTGCAGATTTCCCGCCTGCTCGTAAATGATCTGGCACTTTCTGAGTACTGAATGACCCACTGTCACATTGAGCCCGGGAGGATACAAAGACATCCCTGAGCCAAGCCAGCTCAGGAGAAAAGTAAGGAGGGAGCTCTTGTCTTCTCCTCCCGGCTCAGTCCCCCAGACAGCCCCAAGCAGCCCATGGGCGATACTGTCCGTGCTCACTCGTGCTCTGGGCAGGTGCAGGATCGAAGCATCTCTCCCCACTTACAACAGGAAGACCTGAGAGCCTTTCTGAAAAGTTCAGGACTTCAATGGTGTAAGAAAGGGGAAAATGAGACACAAGACCTTATTTCGTACAGGAGAAAGAGTAGCGCTGTGCTCCTGGAGGAGCTGACCCAAGCAGGATTTCAGACAGCATGGCTGGAGTTAGGAATAGGAGCTCATCTGAGCATAAGCAAGCAAAGGCTCCTATAAGCTCCCTAGGAGCTATGAAAATCACTCTTCTCCTCCACCAATTTTGTTTGGCTACAGCAGGGGTAGGTGAGTTGCAAGCAGAGCAGTCTTGGCAGAAGAGTTACACCAAGAGTCGGGATGGATACTCCTCTTGCTGCAATGTTTCCTCAAGGGCTTTCCAGCCTGAGCCTCAATCTCAGCCCCTTCATTTTTGGATCACTGCTCAGCCTCCGCAGGTGGGATCAAGGTTTCTGGATCTGGGAGTCAAGCAAGGAGACATTTGCCTTGGGATGGAGGAGGAAGAAGATAATTGATTTTTTCGGAAGTTCCTTTTATCCTATGAATTAACCTGCCATAAGCCAGCATTGCAGAGAAATAGAGAGTTGTCCAGCCCAGATATCGTGCCAGAGCTCATGGGAGGCTATTGGGCACAGATCACAGGGAGAAGGGTCTGGTAGGGATCACAGCCCTGGGACAGGAAAAGAGAGCTGGGTAGAAGGAAAAATAAGGCACATGTAAGGGTGGCAAGGGGAAAATGCTGCGGGGGACAGGGCTGTTGCATGGGTGGGGGACTCAGAGACTAACCAGTCCCTTTGTCCCTGTGGTCAGACAGCTGCGATGGGGAGAGGATGCTGTGGATAAGGAGCACCTTGGCTCTAGCACTAGATTTTAGAGGTAAAGGGACAAATGTCTGCATGTGCAGGGAGACACCGGTCCTCACTGACCCCTGCCAGATGGGTTGTTGCCCTTACGGACCATGATAGGCACACAGTGATTTGTGCCAGGCCTCTGAAGGGCTTGTTTCCTCAGAAACGACCACGGTACAGCAATGCAGGACATTTCACGAAAAAAAAGGCCCCTGCTCCCTGGCCCTCTGGGAGGGACAGCCCCCAGGACCGGGCCGGCACCACTCTTCCACCCCAGCCCTAGGGCACTCAGGGACTCGGGGGGCTCTTACCTGTAAGAGACCTGCTTTCTGATGGCCAAGTGCAGGAACTGCGTCTCCACCTCCGCCACAGCCTGGGCCCCTCTCATCTCCTCCCAGGCAGGATCTGCGCTGCGGAGGCCTGAATACTGTGCTTGCCCAGCGCTTTCTGCATCCGCTGTTCCCAGGAGACTTGCCGTGGCCCCTTTGGTCACCTCGCTGTCGCCCCTGGCTGGGGTGAAGTCTCTCCAGTTCCCAGGACCTTCAGCCATGCTCAGGCGAGATGTGTCTCCAGGCAGGGAGTCTTGCTCTGCTGCCACAAACCTCTCAGCAACTCAGTCCAGCCCAGCACAGTTCCACAACGCTCCTTCGCTTTGCCTCCCCAGGGCCTCAGGATGATCCTGGCGAGGTTTAATTTCCCGAAGATGCAGAATCACAGAGCAAACCAGTGGAATAACAGTCCAACTTTTTGCAGTGATATTTATCGGCCTCTTGATAGCAGTTTGCACGGCTCAGGCTCTGCAGCTCAGCCTCTGTCTGTCTCCTCTGCCCTGCCACAGCGCAACGGGAGGAACCTGGAGGGGAGGAATAACTCACGGAAACCTAGAAACGTCGGTGCTGCTCCTCAGAGGTGCCGTCACTGCAAGGGCAGGAGGGGCATGAGGAGGGAGCAGAAAACGCAATCCTGATTGGAAAAGGGGTCTTAGGAGACAGTGAGTCCTGGGAGGGCAATGCTCCCTGCAGGCAAAAAAGAGCCCGGGATGACTTCTGTGGGGGCCAGGGCTGAGCCCCCCCCCCAGGGCCCGGCACGTCGCTCAGCGTCTCCTGCAGCAGCAGCCAAACTCAAGAGGCAGGGAGAGGAAGGCAGGGAGGAAGGTGCCTGTGCACCGATCCTGCAGCAGCCCTCAAAAGACAAAGCAGAAGGAGAGCGTGAGTGTGTGCGTGTGCGTGTGCGCGTGGAGAGGGGGGAGTGCTACACTGAGCGAGTGTGGTGTCACCTTAGAGACACTCGGAAACTGGCACTTAACCCTTTGGAGACCAGAGAGGCAGAGCAGGTTGACAACAGCAGCCGCCCCTCACTGCTGGCGGCCAGGCTGGCGCGCGCTACTCTCCGAGGGCTGCTCGGCGAGGTGGGTCTGAGCTGTTCACGTCAACTGGATCCACACGTTCAGGAAGAGTCAGAGCCCCTGGAAAGCTGCACAGCAGCAGCCCAAGCAGAACAAACTACCCAGTGCTTTGACCCCCTGTCCAAAATGGATGAGGTCTGCCCCGCGCCAGGGTCCCCTGGCTTTGGGGGGGGCACCTAGTGGCACCCAAGGAGAGGTGTCTCCACAGATAGGCTGCCTTCCCCGCAGCAGGCTTGCTCTGCTCCTTGCCACTTGGGAGGCCAAATTATCCCTGCTTTTTGCTAATTAAAGGCATTTCTTTTCCGGTCCTTGTGTCCAGCCGTAGAAAGGCCCTTTTGGCCTTTGCCCACAGCTGTCAGGGGAGTTGTACTGTCTGCCTGTCCTTCATTGGGGCTGGACTTTGTGACCCCAGGCCATCTCTGGCCTGCCCTAGCTTTGCCCATGTCAGTGCTGCAGGATGCCAGCTGGGCTGAGAGACCCCTGCAAAGTTCCCGTATGTTTAGGACTTCTTGTTCTGGATTTGTTCTGCCCCGCATTCCCATACTGAGGCTTCACCTGCTGGGCACTGGGATATTTATGCTTCAAGTCTGTAACAGCCACCCCCCGCATCAGTTGCTCAGTTGCCCATGGCAAAGTCCTATAATCATGTATTACAGCGAGACTGTATTACTGTCACCTCTAATCCCAGCAATGCTGCCTGTCCTCCCACGGCGGAACAGGAGCTGGAGGGTGTCTTCAGCCTCCTCTTACTATGATGTGCTCACCTTGGGAGTCCTCACCAGCACTTTTTCGCTCTCGCCAAGCGCCGTGCACCATCCACACGTGTCTGCGGCACCTCTGCTCCGGGCAGCGGCGGGAGGGGATGCTCCCACACCTCTCCTGGCCCAAACGCAGAAAGAAGCAGGAGCTGCGACAGGGCTGTGCTTTTCCCCAGGAACCATGATGGGCACCTCCAGTTCAAGATACCAAAGCTTCATCCGGTCCTAAGCGTCACGATGGCGTTACCCGCTCTGTCCTGCCCCTCGCGGGCCCTTGCGCCTTGCAGAGTCGGCACTGCCAGCCCCCGAGCCCCCCGGCTGCTCCCCCGCACAGTCGTGACTCGCCCGGGGGCCCCGCCCCCCTCCCACAGCGGGACTCAGCCC